CAGAGGGGGTCAGCATGGCCCGGAGGTGGGCCTGAGTGTCTGGAGAAGCCCGAGGAGTGTGGATCCACACTAGCAGGCCCAGGAGCTCCGAGTTTCTGTGGGAAGGTGGGTTGGGCAGCACCTTTAGGCTCCTTGTAGCTCAGAGGCAGGAGGGGCTGTGGCTGTCTCTGGCCTGGACATGGAGTGCTTGAGCCACCAAACACCTTGAAGTGTTCCATCTAGTTCCAGTCTCTGCTTGCAGCGAGCCTCAGGGATGGTGCCGCCAGTTGGTGAGCTGGGCAGGAGCAGAGCTGCTGCCCGGGTCTGGCTTCCTGCTCAGGACTTGCTCTTCTGTGATTCTGTCCACTAGATGGGTCTTGCATGCCCCGGGGCTTTGGGTCCAGCACTAGGACATTTCTGTCTGCTCCTGTAGGGTGCCGGCTAAGATGTGTGAGCAGGACATGGTGTTGCTGTGCTGCTGCGGGCACTCTTGACTCCTCTCTGGTGCATGGTCTGTGCTACTTCATAACTTCCATGGTACTGGGTAGTCGGTGAGGCAATCATGCAGATGTAGAAGAGTTTTACTTGTGCTTCTCTTTTGCATTTGCCTGATTAACTAATGAACCTGGAAATATTGATTGGTTCTAGAAATTTCTCCTTAATAGTCTATAAAATTTCTTGATATAACTTGCTCATTTCTTGTCTTTCAGTGGTTGACTTTAAATCATATTTGTATACTTACTAGCTTTGTGACAAATGTCTTCTCTCCATTTGTGAATTGAATTTCCTTTTCTCATTTACGTACATATTTATATTCTTTATTTTGATTGCTATTGTCAAATTGGTTTTTTTTTAAAGTCTTCTACCCTACAGTTCTTTAAGCATGATTTTATATAGTTCTTCTTTTTCTAAGGTTTGACTTTCACATGCAACCCTTAAGCCACATGGTATCTTTATTTTTGTGTATCTTGAGGCAGGAGTCTACATTCACTTTTCCGAATAGCTAAACACTTTTCTTGGCAACTTTTATTAATTGTTTGCATTGATTTGTTTCTGAATTCATTTTGTTTTGTTTGTTTCATTCATCTGTTTGTATATTTCTACACAAGCATCCCATTTACAGAGCAGAATTCCTATGCAGGAGAATGAGCTTTGTCTCCACGGATTTAACTCTTCAATATCTGTCAATAGGTCAGCAATTTTTTAGGACAAAAGTTGATTGTATAGTCCTTTCATTTCTGGTGTTTTACCTTCCTCCTTTCACTGTGTTTGTGAATATGGAGGTCAAGTGCAATTGACCCTTATTTAGTAATTTTAAATTCATCAATCTTGCTAAGTTTTTATAATGTTAATGATTTACAAATAAACATTTTTTGTTCTCTAAAGAAAATTACATTAGCAGATAATGACAATGTCATTTAAAAAAATTTTTTTCTAGTTCCTATATATTTTTCTTTGTCTTGTTCTGGCTAGAATCTTGTCATTTTCTGAGTTCAGAGGGAATTGTCTAAACTTTTCCAAATTACTGAAAAACTCTAAACAGTTTTAGAAGCTACCTTCTTTTTCAGGTTTGCTAATTATTTTTATCATAAGGGAATGGCAAATGTTAAGAACATTTTCAGCATATGTTTAGATTATTTTTCTTCTTCATTGCTTTGATATTGTAATTTTTATTAATAGGATTTATATATTGAAACAAAACATGCATTCCTGGAGTAAACTAAATATACTTATTATATATTAATCTTTTCATATTAGTAGATTTGGTTTGTTAATACTTTGTTTAGATATTTTCATACCCATTCAACAATAAAGTTGATTTTCATGTTTTTCTTTTTACTAACTTTATCTAGTTTTGGTGTCAAAAATTTTACCACCTTTACCACCTTGCAAAGTGAGCTAGAAAATATACCTTCAACTTCTATTTTCTGGGAAAGTTCATGTCTGCTTAGAATTTTCTTTTTCTAAGATATTGAAAACAACTTATAAAACTATACAGGCCTAGTGCTTCCCTGAAATATTTTAGCTACTGATTCATCTTCTTTGTTGATGTGAAACTGTCCACACTCTCCATTTCTTATTTAGTATGTTTTGAAATCATTTTTCTAAAGAGGCTTCCATTTTGTCAGTTTTGTCCAAATTTGTTGGTGTAAGAGTAAACAAAATATTCTCATTTATAATCTCTACTATCTAAGGATGTTATTTTTTCACTCCTAGAATTTTGCTATACTTTGTCTATTAAGTTTCATAGAGATTCATCAATTTTACTATTCTCATCAGGAAATTACTGTGTAATATCACTGATACAGCTCTTAGATCTTTTCTCTTGCACTAACTGCTGATATTTCTTTATTACATTTTCCTTCTATTCTCTTATTTTTATTGGTTCTTTATTAAGTCGGCTTCATTGCCTACTTTATAACTCAAAGCTCAGCTCAATTAATTTTAAACTTTTTATAAAATAAAATTATGTAAATCTGTAACTTCTCAAAAATCATGAAGATGAATACTCTGGGTTTAGTGTTTCATTTTTGCCACTGTGACTTCTTGTGTATTATAATTTCTAAGTTGCTATAAGGACTCAATGCATTTTGCCGCCTTCCCTCTGGGAACTTGGTAACTGTCTCAGGCAGTCATACAGAGACCCTCAGGTCCTGTTTCCTCCAGGTGGGTGGTCAGTAGCATAGTGCATGGTGACCTCTCACTGTCCCACCGCAGCACACGTTTGGCATCTGATCCTAATGCGGAAAGGGGTGTGTGTCAGACAAAATAAAAGCATGTTTTCACTTTGGAATACTCCCACCCCTCGCCTTCCGGTCCTTGCTAGAGGCCTCATGTACACATGCCTCCTCAGTTTCAGTCTTCCAGTGCAGGATGGAGCACATGGTTCCTCAGAGGTCACACCAGGACTTGGACACAGAAGTTTTTATTTCTGGTTCTACCATCTCTCAGTGACTGCTTTCTCCTTTCTCCACACCAGTGACCACATTAACACGACAATATCCTCCTGATAATATTCTTATAATTTCTAATAATTTATTAACTTTTCTCAAGACTGATGAGTGATAGACCGTTGTTAAGAAGCAGAACTCTTGGTTTGGCCCACCTTTGCAGTACCTTGCCACTAGGAGCAGTAACCACGGATGTCCCCAGTCTGGGGCTTTCTTTTCTGTACTTAATTCTGATACCCAGGAATACACATTTTCAGCTCTATTTCTCCTGCCAGAACATGTGCCATTGAAATCATCTTCACCTATTACCACTTTCATGTGTTACCAAGCTGATCATCTCTTCAAACACTTAAAATCACCTTTCGTTGTTGGATTTCACCAACAGTTTTAGAATGGCAGTGTTCAGAAGTGGGATGTGTGGAATCAGTGTGAAGCGCAGAAATTCACCGAAGGGGCTTTAAGTCCTACGTCACATCTCCGTCAATCCCCCAAGGCACCACATTGCTACACTCTAGGAATGAGCCGTGGCTCCTCATTCTGGTCTTAACCTTGCATGAGGATGGACACAGACGTCATGAGGATGGACACAGACGTCAATCTCACATTCCTGAATCTTTTTACATGTTTGTGTTTAAGAGCTGTCTATGCTCACTTTTCAAATCTCAGAAGTCACAAGTGAAGAACCATATAGTCTTTTGTTGTTTAGGCACCTGTGGTATTTCCTATCCATTTCCAACTTGTGGAGTGCACATCCACCCTGCTGGGAAGCTGCCTGCAGTTCTTACCAGCCACTGCTCACATTCAGGGCTGGAGCTGCTGTAGTGTGAATGGGCTTTGCTATTCTGCGGGCCTAGCAGGTTGCAGAATGAGTGAATGAGAAGGCTGTTAGCACTGAAGGTGAGCTGATGGTGGATTCACATCAGCTCAGAGGTTGTGTTTACTCAAGTTCACACCTGATCTACAGTAAAATTAAATCTGTAACAAACTTGAATAAACATGTAGGAGGAGCTCATCATATAGTTTGCCAGAAGGGGAGATGTCAAATCCTGCCTCTGGACAACTCCTCTATGTATAGTCAAAGCTTTCAAGATCCCCAACTAGTATTGTGAAACAAATCATTTAATTCCATGTCTCCACTTTGCCTTTATTTGCTTGATCATCTCACTCACATTTACCAACAGCCATTCCCTGTCCCAGGTTAATACCAAGTAGGTGGCCTCTCAAACCAGTGGCCGAATCTCCAAAGGCACGTCAGCTCTCCAGACCATCAGATGGGCTGGTGGCAAAGGGTTCTGCTTCACAGGCCCACCACGCAGGTGCTCACAGGAGGGGTCTCAGGTGTGCTGCACACAGGCTGGGAGGCATTAGCACAGTTTCTGGAATTACGTAGATCATTTCCTTGAGTCTGTATTGGGTATAATTCTGGTATTACACCTCCAGGGTTATGGTCAAGGTTAAATAGAACAATAGATTCTACACAAAGCACATAGCACGTGAAAATGGTCGACAGGTGTTTATTAAATAAATGGAATAGAACTAAGGGAAGGTTTTTTTTTTTATATCAGTTTTCTCCTCATGTGGCAATGTTGTGTCCTCGAGGCCTGTACAGACCTGCTGCGTGGCACATCAGCTCCTGTTGCACAGGGGGACAGCACCAGCAGCGTGCAGAAGGCCACACTGGCTAGACATTCTTGCTCAGTCCTCACTCTTCACAATCAGGTGGAAGTTAAAATGGAGTCCATTTAGTGCTTTAAAAACTTGTTGCAGTAACTTTATCGAGAAGTCTGGGGGTGGGAAATGAAAACTCTGACTGTTCCCAATATATATGTGCGTGTATTTTTAAATTATATGTAAGGCCAACAGAGCTCTTTTTTATAATTATTTTCATAACTAAACTTCTTGCACTATAGATTCTGTTCTTTATGGATGGATAATTTAAAATCCAATTATCGCCCATATACATCAAAATAACACATTTGATATTTATATTTATCACAGATCTGCCATTTAACACCTCCATGTTATGCTCCGCTTTCTTCCCATGATCGCATTCCAAAATACGGTCTACAGTCCAATTTTTTCCTTCTTTATTGTGGGTATGGCATTCATATTGGAAATAAGCATGTTCAATACAATATCAGTTTTCTCTGCTACATAGCCTCATGAACATGACCTAGAGTATAAGAGGTGCTTAAAAATTACACTCAGTGCTATTAATACTATCTTGTATCCGTTTTACAATATTCACAACCCAAAAATTGAATAGTAAATTCTAATAAGTTGAGTGATATTGCTTAACTGTTCTTTGTTCATTGATACCAAAGTCAACAGCGACACCTTAGATTTATAATTAAGCACTGACCCCTTAATTATAAATCTGTACCAGCTCAGGAGGTGCTTGTCTGGGAAGTCTTATAACTTCTGACCAGCGTCCTGGGTGGGAGGTTAAGAGATAAGAGCCCTGCTGTTAAGAGTTTAAAGATTGTTGACTCACCTTTTAAAATGTTAGTTTGATTTTATTAATCAACTTCTACCATAAGTGTTGTGCATTCTTAGCACAAAAAATAAAAACTACAATATAATTTTTTGAGATGGTTTGGAAACTCCGTCATTTGGAGTTATTGAATTTCAGATCAAACCCAGGCCCGTAGGTAGCCAGGACTGAGGACTCATGTGCAGACACGTCCACAAAGCACCAGGGGGCTGTGATGGACTCGCTGCCTGCCCTGCTTTGCAGAGACCAGGGCTAGATCCCAGTGAGTTGAGCCATCCTCTCTCATCTAGCTGTAACTCCCAGAGTTCCCTCAAGCTGTTCCCCTCTTTGCTTTTCCCTGAAGAAGAGGATATGTCCAGCCTTCAGAATCCAACCAAGACACAGGGCCCTGAGCATCCAGAGGGACTCACCTTTGGAAGGTGACTTGCCGTGTGGACACAGGAGCAGAGAGCTGGTAATGATGAGCCTTATAAAGAAGCCTAATTCAGAGTCATTGTAAATAAATACATCTCACACTCCCAAAGAGCTGACACATAAAATTTTGTCTAGAAGAGAAAAAAATGATAGTTAAATGAGAGTATCATTGTAAAAAGAAATGACAAGCCCTAACATGCTGCTTTCCTGTGTTAGCGGCCTCCTGATCTGTGCATCCTTGTTGATCACTGTTGCCCTTCTTTCTGTCAACTCTCCTGTGGGTGGACCCTCACTGAGTGGTGGGATCTCAGCTGCCTCTGATGAGTTTCAGACAGTATTCAGTGTCCAAGATCCTTCTGGGCTGGGGCATCTAGACCCTTGCTGGATCCAGAGGCAGGACCAGCATTGAACCCTTGGCCGTCACTTTCATTTGAAGCCAGTTATGGGAGCTTCTGGCCCTGGGTTTCCTTTGTCTGTAGCACGGAGACAATGGTGTCGGCCCTGTCTTCCTCGGGACTTTGAGGTAGCTCTTCCTTACGTTCAGAGCCCCTTTGGTGTTCACTTCTGTGGATTCCAAGAAGGAGTTTGCCAAAACCCTGACTTGTACAGGCAGGAGGTAAGGAGATGTGTAAGGTGCCATGTTTATTTTCGAATTCCACATACATATGCATGAGTGGACCTAAACCTGATCTTCAAGATTAATTTTTGAAGATACTCTGTAAAATCCCATTTCTTTCTGTCATTTTGTCTCTGAATTCAGTTGGGAGCTTGGTCCCTTCACAGCGGATAGATCATCCACGGTAGTCTGTCTTCCACCTCCTCCCTTCAGACCGCGCCTCAGTCACAATAAGATCTGAATGTGCGCCTGTGCACATGGCCTCCCAAATTACCACCTCCCCGAGGCTCAGGATTGTTTTCAAAGGGCTAAAAATTGCCACACTCATCAAAACAAAACAAAACAAAAATGGCAACCTTGTTTGCCTTGCCAGTCTGTCAGAGCTTGAAAAACAAACTTCATCCCAGAAAGACAAACACGCACACAGCAAACATGGAGAAGGAGCTGCTGACAGAGGGGGGGCATCTCCAGGCCAGAGACAATAGCAGGGAGCGCGCCAGCTGGGTGCAGGCGAAGCCGGCCATGCCAGTCCAGTGGGAAGGAGGAGCGCAGCCCAGTCCAGCAGAGGGAATCAGAGACCCTTCCCTGCTGCACGAACCCTCCTTCAAGTGCCCAGAGACCCCCAGCCAGCAGAGTGCACGTAGCTGAAGCTACGCTGGAATCCAGCCCGGCTCGTCCCTCCTGTGGTATCCCGGCCAGGGAAAGGCTCCGGCTCCCCTGGGCTAACAGGATATTTACTCCCCAACCTGACTCCCTGTGGTGCATCATGTCAGGTATATAAATAAATTTTCCAAAAGACAGTAAAATCTCAAGTTCACAAATCATCGTTGGAATGAATCAAAGCCAATCAACTGCATATTTCCTGGAAGGCTTCATTTTACAACCGCTGATGAGATACAAAATAAAAAGGCGGCTTTGGCGGGTTTCTATAATAACAGTTTATATTAATATTCTGCAGGAGCCCTTTCTTCCAAGGAATTTAGAGTGCTTGCAATGAGATTGGATTCTGCCCCAGCTCTAGTTCCAGCAGGAATAAATGGCAGCGCTTGGCAGCCACAGTGCCAACCTTAGCTCTGTCTCCAGAGGATGAGACGCTAAGCTGCACAGATTACAGATCACAGTCTTTGTTCACATACACTCTGGTCCGTCAGAGTTGAGCAGCGGCTGGCCCGCGAGCGATCAAGGCAGATCTTGCTTTGGAGGGTTTACGAGTCGGCACCCACACGGCGGTGGTGAATGCCACAGTGCTGCAGATGCCCTCGTCCAGAGAGTCTCCACTCAACACAGGCTGTACCCGGGCCGTTCCCTATGCCATGCCACTCGCCATGCAGCTCTGAGGGTGGCATCATGTGCCCATTGTTCAAGCAGGGAAATAAACCTTGGGAACATGAAGCAGCTTGGCTAGGCAGAGTCACTAAGTGGTGAAGGCAGATTTGTCACCGTTCTTTCTGCCCCCAGAGTCCTTGCCTGGTGACTCTACTGCCTTGATGAATGCGGATCTTGAAGACAGAATGCGGGGGAATTCCCACTGCTTACAAGCATGGTACAGCGTTCCCTCTGCCATGCAGGTAATGGGATCCAAAGCTCTGGGTTCCCTTCAAACGTTTGTTTCGAAGATTTCCAGTCCCCAAATTGCTCCAGCCCCACCTCTCTTCTCCATGGATATGTTTCCTTGGGTCCTGTACGTGTTCACATGCCTTGCACATGAAGACTGTGCACAGCCTGTGTCCCTGGCCCTGTGCACGGGTGTTAAGATGACCTGGAGGGCATAGTGTCACCTAGATTACCCAGGTGGGAAAGAACATAGGCATCATCCTCTTCTTTGTTCCTTGTTCAATTCTCTAAGCAAATATCTATTGAGCAGAGATTTACTTACAAGCTAAGCGAAGGTGAGACCTGGTTCACCAAGGCTCTACTTCTTTCTGGTGTAAAATCTAAAAGGAGGGCAGATATCCAGTTGTTGTGAATGATGTTTTAATGCTACACCTAATAAACCTAAACCAATACAAACATTTTTGATAAAAATATCCAACTTTTAAGTGAAGACAGGCTCAGCATTCCAATGTATCCTTTTCTTTCAGGCCCAGCTCAGCTCCCGTGCTAAACACTGTGACCACAGAGACCAATGTGACCCTGGAGAAGAGGAAGGTTTTAGTTTTTATTGCATTATAAGGTGCAAATAGAATAAAATTCCTCATCCTCAGAGTGAAATACAGTATCTACCTCAAAGGAAAAGTAATAGAAAGTCGTTGGACTAGACTGAGTTTAGCAAATGAGACTACGTTTAATTTTCTTGCTGTTGAGTTGGAACGAGGCTTGAAATGAATGGAGTTTGTAGAAACATGTAAATTTTATATTTCCACCAAAGCTGAAAGGTGACTGCTAGTCACTAAACTCCATATAACACGGCAGATCTGAGTCACCAGAGGAGTCTTTTGTCTCTTCTCTCAACTGAACCCTTGGGCTGTTCTGGGAATCCTACCGCTCACCCACAGTCGGCTGCACCCGTAGTCTAGAGCAGGTAACTCAGCCCCCCAGTGCACCCTCACAAGGAACAACCTTTAGTCCCTTATCTTGTCCCGGGCTTTCTCCCGGGCAACAGCTATCCAGATGGGACAGAAAGCTGCAGAGGCCTGGGGCCGCCAGGGCAGAGGACGCTAGGAGGAGGAAAAGCCTTTGTGGCCAGTGTGGAAAGACGAACCAAGGCCTCTCCTCTCTCTCCTACTGCTCAAGTCAGCCTCGATGGGTGTGTGTGTAAATCTCCTGGAGTCCACTCTGGAAGGACCTGGACTTTAACTTAGCAATACCAGGTACACCAACAGAAATCCACTGTGTGCACAAATGCCTTCATTTCACTGGAAGATGCCAAACTTTGAATGAGGAGTGTCTCCACTGGCTCCATCTCCCGGGATTCCATTTCTGGGCACTGCACGGCACCTCCCAAATCAGCCAGCCTCTATTGGAGGTTGAAGTTGTCTCGATCCTGCCACCCAGAGCAGGGTTCCCATCTTGGTCCAGGCAGAAGGCAGAGGTATAAGAGGGACGTCTCTCAAACAGTTGCCCACTGCTGCAGGTCCTCAATATCAAGACCACTTCAATCTCAGGAAATGCCAGTCTGTAATCAGGTCTATATGGAAGAAGAAAGGTGACCTTTTCTCTGAAAGTATATTTATATTTTTCTAATTTCTACATTAAAAGTTACAATCTCAAAGTTGAAAACATAAAGCTACCATATGACATAGTAATCTAGGCAGAAACCCCAAAGCAGGACAACTTATGTACACAAACTCTATGCACATATCTATCACCTAATGAATGAATGAGAAAGATGTGGTATGTCTACACAAAAAGAAATGAAGTACTCATCCATGCTACAATCTGGATAGAAAACACTGTGCTATGCGAAAGAAGCCAGACATAATAAGTGAGTGTATTTATGTGAAATGTCCCAAATAGGCTCCCAGAGGTTGAGGGGTGGGGAGCAGAGAAGATAGTGATTGTTAAAAGGGTATGGTTAAAATGTTCCTGAATTTGATAGTAGTGATGGTTACCCAGTCTGAGGAGTATACTGAAAAACATGCAGCCACACCGATATTTATAGCAGTTCAATTCACAATAGCTAAACTATGGAACCAATCTAGGTGTCCTTCAATAGATGAATGGATAAATAACATGTGGTTTTATATATATATATATAATGGAATATTACTTAACTTTAAAGAAAAGAGAAATTATGGCATTTGCCAGTAAATGGTTGGAGTTGGAGAGTATCATGCTAAGTGAAATAAGCCAATCCCCCTAAACCAAAGGCCGAATGTGTTCTCTGATATGTGGATGCTGATTCACAATAAGGCGGGGGGCACTAAGGAAGAATAGCATTACCTTAGATAGAGGGAAGTGATGGGAGGGGAGGAGAGGGGATGTGGGATAGGAAAGATAGTAGAATGAAGCAGACATCATTACTGTATGTATATATGTGACTGCATGACCAATGTGATTCTACAACATGTGCACTCAGAAAAATGAGAAATTATATCCCATCTACGTATGATGCATCACAGTGCATAAATGTGTTCTGCTGTCATTATAACTAATTAAAACAAATAAAAAAATTTTAATAAACAGAACTTCAGAATTTAAATGGGCCAATTGGATGGTACATCAATTATATCTCAATGATGAAAATAAAAACCTACAAAAGAAACCAGGATGAGTCTGACATTCAAACTCTTAAAATCTGGCTCAAAGTGGGGACAGCTCCCGAGGCAGCAGTGGAGGAAACCATGCAATGGAAGGGGGTGAGGGGCTCAGGTCCACGGGGCAGATGCAGCTGACTTCTGTGCTTTTTGAAAGAAAAAGGCCAACGATGCCCTTGAGAAGGACCCATGGCTGCAGAGCTGCTCCAAACTAGTTCCCTGCAGTCTCCTGTCTCTTCACCACACAGAGAGGCCAGACAGAGGAGGCCAGTGCAGGACATGGCCCACAGTTGGGCAAGTGCTGTCGGAGCTCACAGCAGGCCAGGAAGCAGCGTTCTGAGCACAGTGGTCAGCATCAGAAGTGAACAACCGGCAAGCCACCAGGGAGGAGAAGCCCACAGCAGCAGCAGGAGACTTGGGTCTGGCACTTGCAGCTGGCAGTGGTGCACAGTGATGTGGGACATGTCTTCAAGCCCCTCTCCCCTTCTAGTTCCCTTAGGGAAGGAGCAAGAGGACCTGGGAGGGACCCAGGGCCATCTGGGCTTGTAATCACTGTCAGTGCTGTTCCTGTGACCCCAGTGTGTCCTCTACTGGTGTCTCATGGGGACCTCGGCTTCCCCATGCTGGAGCCAGCCTGCCTGTCCAGCATGTCCACTCTGCTACCTGTGAGCAGAGAAAACAAGGTGCTTCATCAAAGGGCTCCCAGAGTTGGGGCTGTCAGCTTGGCTTCTCGGAGGGTCATATGCAGAATTCCTTTCTCTGGCTCAGTGCCAGGTGGCAGGGAGCTGCATCACCTGGTGGAGGACATGGTCAGTGACAGTCCCCATAGCTTGCCCATACCTGGGAGTGGTATCCATCTCTAGTCTTCTGAAACTGGAAACTGAGGCCTCAGGGTGTGGCCCAAGGACAATCCCCAGAGGGCACAGAGGACAGGTGACTTGCAGTGAGTCCCCCAGGCTACAGAGGGGTTCCCGCCTTAAGAGACCTGGGCAGATGGACCTGGGGCTTTCGCCTGAGGCAGCTGATGTCCAAGAGCATGGAAAGCCGCTTCCAGGTCCATGGCCAGGTGCCCAATTTCAAAGGGACCATCTGGGGAGTGTTTGGTAGTCACAGAAGTTAAAAGCAAAGCAGGTCCCAGCGTTTCCCTCAGCTGAAAGGTTCCTAAGATGCTCTTGTTCTGCTCCCAGATCACATTTGTCCTTGTGAAATAAGCTCTGCGTTCAGGCCAGTGGGTGACCTTCCTGCACCCACTCTGGGGCTTGCCTTTTCCAACATGTTTGTGGACAGCACTTCCCTGTCCTACCTCCTGGGAGCCCTGGCCTTGATTAGGGAACTGTTCAACACTGGAATCACATGAGCACAAAGGAGGAGAAACCAAAGCCTAGCTAATAAAAGCCATGTAAGCAGTTAGTATTGGCTATTTAATTTTGAGTGTTTCAAGAAGGGTTTCCTATTCTCTAGAGTTTATAGTGGTTTCGTTGGGACATCACCATCATATCTCCATATTGAAGGGGGTCGGAGTCTCCCAGTCCAGCAGGGGAGGCACCTAATTTTTCTAGTGTCCAACATTTAACTCCATCCTACTGGGGAAGGGCAGGGAGAAATGTCTTTTTTTTTTTTAAATTTTTTTTTTAATTTTTTTTTTTTATTTTCTTAGTTCTCGGCGGACACAACATCTTTGTTGGTATGTGGTGCTGAGGATCGAACCCGGGCCGCACGCATGCCAGGCGAGCGCGCTACCGCTTGAGCCACATCCCCAGCCCCAAGAAATGTCTTATTGAGCTCCGGATGTCCCCTTCATTTCTCCTAGGCTGTGCCTAACTTCCGGCTGTTCATGACTTCTGCTGCATTGAGCCCAGGACCCCGGCAGGCATCATATAGCACACATGCTCGGGCTCTTCCAGATGACCCGACATCCACAGCTCATCACACACCTCTTAAGGGGCTACCTTTCTCCAGTGATGAGGGCCTGGGCTCTTCCTCGTGCAGGGATGTGGGGGTCCATACTTCCTTCCCACTGAATGCACGTGGAGCCAGCACCGCTCTGTGGTCCCACCAGAGACCACATGAGGCCCCAACTCTGCATCCACCCAGCCTGGGGCCTCCTGCCAGAAAGCAGAGAACAGCTTTCCTTCCCTGCGGAAAGCCGCTCTTCTTCCTGCTGTCCTCTGCTTGCCTGAGTTCTCCCCCGGTGCTGGGGATTTCAGGGGTCTCCAGTGGGGTAGGGAGCAGGAGGAGGGACAGCCTTCTGGGCACTTTTTTCCTGCATTCCACTGAAGGCCTCGGGTTTGAAACAGACGAACTCTCTAGTCCCCTGCTCCTTCTGTTCTGGGCGCCAGTTCTGCCCTGGAGCCAGATGGCAGAGCTGGGCAGAGCAGCAGCTCAGCACCCCCGCAGGGAGAAGCCTCAACAGAACAACAGGGAAGAGAGTGACTAGGGACGTGGACAGTGTTCCCAGCTGCCCTCTGTTCTGAGGCTCTTGCAGCTCCCAGAGCAAAGCTGCCTACCTCGTCTCATTTTTCAGGGTCCCTGTCTGTCAACGAGGGGCGGGAGCTGGGTGGTCACTCCTTTTCTCCAGGCACAATGGGAAGCCAGACCTTCTTCTGAAGATCAGTGAGTTCAGGGCTTGTAGCTAAGCCAGACTGTGAGCCATACCAGGGCACAGGCTGGGTCTTAAGGAGAGCACTTTTTTCTTCCATAATATCTGGGTATTGTGGGCTGAACCATGCCCCTCACTCCCCAAAGTTTACACACTGAAGTCCTAACTCCTGGAACTTCAGAAGGTGAATGCATTTGGAGAGAAGGCCTGTCAAGACTGAAGTAAAGCAAAATTGAGTTTCTGTGTCCTCACCCACTAGGGCTGTGGTCCTTTAGGAGAACTGAGATGGGGCACACGTATACACAGAGAAGATACTTAGGACACATTGAGAACTTGGCCATTCACAAGCCCAGGAGAGAGGCTTCAGGAGCAGTAGCCAACTCCTTGATCTTGCACTTGGGGTCCTGGACTTGGGGTCCAATGGTTAATCCTCCAGCCTGTGGCACTTTGTTTTCACAGCTCAATACAAACATGCTACTCACTGCCCTGGTTAGGGGACATCTGCTACCTAAAGTTGGGGTTCCACCAGACAGACCATGTTGGAGCTGCTTTCAAATTTGCTGTTCAAGTTTCTTTGTCCCATAAGTGCTGACCATTTGCTGGGCCTTCTGCTGGGCTCTGTGAAGCCGGGGATGGAAATTCTCCTTGTTGGGAGTTGCCCTGGCTCCAAACACTAACTTCCCCATCCCCCAAGAAGAGCCGTCCAATGGTGAGCCCTGCTGGCTCACATGATCCTGCCATCCAATGGTGAGCCCTGCTGGTTCACATGATCCTGCCGTCCAATGGTGAGCCCTGCTGGCTCACATGATCCTTACCCACCAATAAAAAAGCACCCCATGCCAACTGCCAAACCACCCCTGGCTCTATAAATATGCACAGATGTTCCTCAATCAAGAGGCATTTTCTAGGATGGCAAGCCTTGATGGTTCTTTCATGGAGGAAATGCCCCTCCCTGTCTCTAAGAAGGACACTGTTGAGGGCAGTTTACATGACCAAGTAATGGTCCTTCCATGGGGACAGTGTGACTGGCAGAGGGAAGAAGGACTAGTCAGGAAGATTCATAGGAATTCACTGAGTGCTGTTATCAAGGGGAGAAATGAGGAGAAACTCCCGATGATAAGAGTTCAAGGGGAGGTAGGCATGGTGGCCACTCTCCTGTAATCCCAGCTACCCAGGAGACCGAGGATGGCAAGTTCAAGGCCAGTCTTAGAAACTTAGCAAGTAAGACTGTCACAAAATTAAGAAAAAAAATTAAAAGTGTTAAGCATATAAAATGACTTAGGTTCAATACCTAGTACAAAAAACAAATAAACAAACAAAAAAAAAAAAAACAAAGAAAAAAAAGGTTAAGGAAATTTTAGGATGAAATCCTGAGAAGAAGAATCCTACTGATCCTGTCCCACTTCCCCCAAATACAATTTAAGAAAATGAGAAAGGAAACATCCAGATCAAAACCAAGCTCCATAGCTGGCTTCAGAACCCTCAGTGGGCTGGCTCCCGCCTTCCACCCCACTGCCACGGCGGCTTACTGCTTCACCCCCCGCCCCGCCATCCCACCTGCACCCCTGCTACTCAGCGTGCAGTTGGTCAGACACCTGCAGGTCACCCGCTCTCGACCTTTTCTTGGGATACTTCTGCAGACGAAGTCCTCCCCTGAGCTCTCTAAGAATCCTTGCTCCTTTCTTGAGTTTCCATTCAAGGGTCATGTTCCCCAAGGAACAAAACGCTCTCTCTTTGGCCCCCATTACATTTTGTGCAAACAACCTTCCGTGGCCAGTGTGACATTTTGTTCCCTGATGATTTTTTAATGTGTCTGACTCTCCTTATTAGGTCATGAGGCTCTGATAGCAGCAGGCATGACTTTCTGCTGCGGCATCAGCACCCTCAGGAGGCACCTGCCAACACATTCTTGCTGGCTGAGTGGTGTGCGAAGACACTGGGGCTGCAGAGAGCATTGCAAACGGCAGTCACTTCTTCAGTGTGTAGAGCTTCAGAACGTGACTGAGTGCTTGGAAACAAAGCTTCAAGAAGAGGTTGGCCTTTTATGTAAAATGTAGCGAACAAAATAAAGTACAAGTGTTTTTGTGTGTATGCACACATATTTGTATAGAAAGCCCAATAGATGTTGTGTTTCAGATAAGCTGCAGGTTTTATTATTACTGTTACTACATACAGGGTGATCTATATAATATTTAGGACCTATTAATATTAAATATATTCTTTATATGAAATTCAAATTTATCTTGGTTTCCTGTGTTCCATTTGCCTACTCTAATCACGTGCGGTACTGAGAAGCTTGAGAGGCTGCCCGTGTGTAAAGGAGATGTCCCTCATCACTCGCCAGAGCTGCACCCATGTGGATGATCCTACTCACCTCACTGGGATGTACCCATGTCTGGATGACCCTCCTCGTCACGTGACTGGGACCCACATCTGGTTGACTTCCCTCTCCCAGGTGAAGGTTAGTTTGAGGCCCGGCTACTCCCTTCCCCTTTTCTTGACTCTGCGGTCGGCAGTAGAGGCAGGCAAAGTAAAATCCAACTCACGAACTAAGTAGGATTTTGCACAATGGAATCAGAACTACTGTAAAACATGGAGAAAAACGAGAGGAAAGGGTGGGGAAGATCTGAAAAAAAAAAAAAAGGAAAGTGAAAAAAAACTATCCAATATGGTCTTGGCCTTCATCAGAGATTCACACAGCTTTTGGGATATATTTCCAAAGCTGAAACTTGAAGGGAAATCACATGGATTTTAAGCCACCCTTCCCGGAATTTTAAGCAGGGGCCAAGCGACTGCTTCCCCAGAATCCCCTCCACTGCAACTGCTGACATTCCCGCGGCTCCGACGCCTGCTCCCACCACATGCTCGTGTTTAACATTTCTCACAGTGTTTCTAAACTCGAATTCGCTCACTGCTACCAGCTCGGAACAGATGCACCAGAGAGAACCTATTTGAAAGTGGGTGGCTTATTATGAACAACTTGGGGTCTATAAAAAAATCCCAACAAGAGCTGGAAGAAAAAAATAAAAACTGCCAGAAGCTCTAAAAAATCTCTTCATAAGAAAACAGAATAGTTATCTGGAAATTCTGCAAATATGTAAAGGATCCTTGTTTTAGCAGTGTTTTGCACTGTAGCATAATTTTCTAAAAGTAAGTTACCTCTAACTTGGACACAAGAATTGAATTACTGACCTACCAAGAGCACTCCTTCTTCATGCCGACCAAGGGACCACCCAGAACAAACCTGCAGAGAGAGAGAACCACCAAACACACGTTCTCTTCTTTGCTCAAACCTTCTGGTGGCATAGGGTACTCCAGATACTCCCAGTTCAACTGCTCTTGTCAAACCATTTCCCCTTGGATTCCATGTGGTCAAGATTCCTGTCTGTTCTGTCCAAGGTGGTTGCCACTGGATGCCCAGGACCATCAAGCAGTAAATTACAGCTAGTTTGAATGGAGAAAATGCAGTGCACACAAAATACAGATAAATTTTGAAAACTTAATTGGAAAGAATATATGAAATATCATTAGTAATCTTTATATACGTTTCATGTTGAAATAATAGAAGTTTAGATACATTTGTTAAAATAAAATGCATTCATTTTAATGACTGACCTGGGGGCTCCCATTAGAATCTAAAGTCTTCCAATTGTTTTAACTTAATGAAAAAAAAAAAAAACCGTGACATTCAAAAAACTGTGACTTCTACCTTTGCCTTGAGCTCCAGGAGTAACTGAATACCTCCATGTTGCTATGGAGGGAGCCGACTTGGAAAGGGGTTTCATAGGACTCTGATCAGCAATTCATCAGCCAGTACGTGAAGAAGAATAGCAGAGGGATGTGTAGACACACACTTGGCCTGACCTTGTGCCTGGATTTACTTTATTCCAGGAAGAAATTCCACATACAGACTCAGAAAATTGACTGAACAACTGGAGTGTTAGATGTTCTTACTACAGTGGTTTTCATAAAGGCTAGAAGACAAGACCTTAGCATGGGCTATGGAAAATTTTTAGCAGTGTCTCTCGTCAATGATTTATCCAAGGATCATTTTCCCAGCCTTCTCTGAGAACCAGGAATTGGGTCCTAATTATAGGGGAAATGGGATGTGGCAGTGACGGGGAATCTAAGACTGGCCAGCAAACTGACAGGTACCACCCAGCATGGTCCTGCAGGAGGAGCAGAGGAGGAGGGGGGGCTGTGCTGAGGACCTGAGAGCTGGTGTCACCTACTAGGGAGGCTTCTGTAGGTCTCACTGATGGATTCTTGGCAGGTCCTGCTGCGCAGCACACTGTCAACTACCAGCCAGCTAATACCTGGAGCCAGACACAAGCAGCACTGGGCCTGTGACCAGAAGTAGCTCTGGATGTGATGCATCTGAGGAAGGGGCTCTCAAGAATAGCATCATGTGATATTAAACTTCAGGTCTTTTGCTAGGCTATGCTGTCAGTGGTACAGTCCCACTGGCCCTACTACAGACCCTATTCACCATCCTCAAGTTTAGAGAAAAGTGAAAGGATACCCTGGGCCACCTTTGATGTGTTTAGGGAACATAACAGAAAAAAAGCTAAATATGAGACGCCATATAATCAGTAATTCCGTGGAAGCAGCACGTCACGTCAGAGCTTAAGGTGGCAGGGGAGCACGAGCCACATGAGCACACTTGGAGTGTGGAGTATGGACAACTCGAGCTTCCTACCATCTGTGGGACGGAAACACCTCTCAATTATTAAATGTTAAAGAAAAAATTGTGGTAACTGACTTTCTACTCAAGTACCAAGAAAATTCACTGGAGCAAGAATGCTCTTTTCAAGTAATGGTAACAACTTTACATGCAGACCCACATCTCCCACCATACAAAATTAATTCAAAATTTATAAAGATAACAAATGTAAGAGCTAAATTGAAGATAGGCACATAAATGCAGGAATTAAATCAGGCAATAAATCTTAGAAGAACATATAGGCACAAATGTTCATGCCCTTGAATTAGACAATAGTTTCTCAGACACGCCATTAAAAATATAAGTAAAAAAATGACAAATAGAACATTATCAAAATTATAAACTTTTTGACTTCAAAGGATTCTATTAAGAAAGTTCAAAAGACAACTCACAGAAAAGGGTAAAATATTGTAAATCAAATATCTGATAAAAGACTTGTGTCTAGAATACATGAAACATAATAGACAACCCAGTTAACAAGTGAGCAAAAGATATGAATAAATAGATGTTTCTCCAAAGATGAAGCACAAAAGTCAATAAGCAGATGAAGAGATACTCATTATTGTTAGTCACTAGGAAAATGCAAATCAAAACCACTAAGAGGACGTAACAAAGAATACAGACAATAATAAACGTTGGTGAGGTTATAGAAAATCCAGCTTCCTGTGTGCTGCTGTTGAGTATGGAAAGTGGTGCAGCCACTTGGTTAAAATAGATTGGCAGAGTCCCAAAAGTTAAACATAGCCTTACCATATGAACCAGTAATTCATCTCCTGAAAGAATTGCAAACATATGTCTACACAAAAACTTGGACACAAATGTCCTTAGCAGCATTATTCAAGTTCATCAAAAAGTAGAAACAACCCAAATGTCCATCAATGGATAAAAAACATGACCTTTCCATACAATGGAGGGACTTTGGTCATTAAAAGCAATGAAAAGCCAACACACACTAGAACATGAATGAAATCAGCCAAGAAAAGTCAGATGTAAAAGATCACATCACGTTTAATTCCACTTATGAGATCCAGAACATGACTGAAGAATCCAGAGAAGGTAAACTGCTCATGACAAAGTAGGTTGCCAGTGGGCAGGGTTGGGGAAATGGAAAGCGACTGCTCTTGCACCTGGGGTTTCTTTTATGGGTGCTGAAAGAACAGTCGGTGGTAGATAGCATGATGGCTGCATAATTTTGTGATTTTACCAAAAACCATGGAATTGTGTACTTCATAAGGATGATTTTGTATTATTTAACTACATCTCAATATAAAAAGAAAATGTGACTCCATAAAGTCTGAAATTTGAGAAGAATTCCACAAATTGGAAATTTGATTATATATATATGTATCCATTGAGCATCTACATGTGCTTGATATATACATTGAGAATATATGTGTGTCTCTCTTGTATATTCGTATATATATATATATATATATATATATATATATATATATATATATATATATATATACACACACACACACACACACACACACACACAACACACACACACACACACGTTAGATGGTGGAGGATGTGGAGAAGTCTGGGCTCACAGTGACTCCCCGAAGCTGGATATTGCATGAGGTCAAGGAGGTGGCCAGAGTCAAGGTCAGGTGGGGAGGTTCGCAGCCAGGACCACAGGACTCAGGGCCCTGCTGGGGAGCGCGTGCTGAGCCTCAGGGTCGATGGGAAAGAGCGCAGGTTGGTTTGGAGTTGTGGGGTGGTTCTGCGAAGGAGGAACAGGATTCCATTTCAGGGAGCTCCTGCTGCACCCCAGGCAAGAGGATGGCCTCGTAAGGATTCTGAGGATGAGTAAGTCTCAGCAGCTGTCCTCTTTAGAGATGAAAGGCAAGTTTGAAGGAAGAACAAAATAAATGTAAAATAATATTTATTAAATGCCAATATAAGCTCAGACGAGGGTTTCAGAAACCCAGTGAAGGAGGAGTGATTATAGATGGGTGAAGAGCAAACAGAGAAGTTGAAACAGAGGGGCCTTGGGGGACGGGGCCTCCCTGGGCCTGCAAAGGTGGGTTCTGAAGGGAGGAGGCGACCTCGTCCCTGACTGGATGCTCACGGCTTCAACGGAAACCTCCAGAAGTTGGCCAGGTGCTGAGAGCACATCGTGAACCACAGCTCTGAGAGGGGAAGCTCCCCTCTAGGAAAGCAATAGGTCCCTCGGGGGGAAAAATGGTCTGATTGAAAGTTCTGTTTGGGGCACACACCCTGGACACAGCCTCTGACACGGAGCAGGCACATCACACCTGTCCCACTCCACACCAGGCACAAAGCAAAACCATGTGTGCTTCCTGAAGAGCGGGTGGCCTTCTCCCGAGTGTGTTGCCGTGGCCGTGGACTCAGGCCCAGCAGAATGACACACCTCACAGCACTCGGCCGCAGAGCTGCCTTAGCATCAGGAAATGTGCCTGATGGGAAAGCCCATCGTGTTGGGCAGCTGTGGAGGCGTGGGGCTGGACCAGGGAGCACGGCAAGGGCACAGAGTGTGACCTGGGAAAGGGACGCTGGCGAGGTCGCTTGTGACTTCTTCTTTGCCTTTTAACTCCAGACTAAAGGAAGCTGGGGCCCAGGTAGAAGGAAAAATGGGCAGATCAGATCCAAGATCAGCCTCATCCTCCCTCTTAACCAACTGCCAAGTTGTGCAAGACCTGGAAGACACCGGGATGGAGAGGCGAGGTAGGCCTCCCGGAGGAGAGTGGCAACGAAGTCCCGGGCCCTGGACCAGCACCAGATCTGCCACCTCACAGAGACACCAGGCCCCACCTCCGGAGGGGAGCCACAGGGCCCACGGCGGAGTCTCGGCTGGA